ATCGCATGCTGTAGATATTGCAGTTGTCTTTGCAGTTCTTTTTGTTAAATGTTAAAGCTCTGCAGAATATTTATTTTGGTCTTGTCGGACTTGCGCATCTCAGTTGCCCTATTGGCCAACAATCCGAATTCTAAATGCTCTCCACGACGATCAGATATGCAATATACTTGCAATATGTATATGTTGCTAATACTATATACATAGTTGTTAAGTATTTGCTAAATACTATAAGATTTTATGCATAATTTAGAATATAATATAATGGATTGATTAGGTTGTATCATATGTGTTTATATTAAATTATAATTCTTACTTGTAGCTTATATATATGTTTAGCTTTAGTTGATACATTTTTTTATTTATGGTGATTTAAAAAATCCGTATTTACAAGCGTACTTTTGTATTGTTGCATTGCTATTATATTTTTACAAATAAGGGGGTTCCAAGCGAGCATAAATAATAGTTTTCCTTCTAGCCGAACTCTAGCTCGTATTTTCTGTTGCATAATTAATTTCGTTCACAGAATTCATCAAAATTGTAGATGAAACATACAATTTTTTTTGTGCGCCTCATCCGTCTCCTATTAAACTCGAATTTAACTCGCTGATAAAAAGCAACATACTTGTACTACTACCTGAAAACTGCGCAAATTACTTAATTCAGTAATGTACACGAAATACTGAATTTATTTGTCGGCCTAATTACACAATTAGGATAGGCAAGCTAGAATAGAAGCTATGTATCGGGAAATGAAGTCCACCGAATGGTAAGGGAATACAGGAATGGTGAGAGGAAACTCTGGCTTACTTTCAGTTTTTTTGGAACCTGCGAAGACGCAACAGGGGCAACAGATTATCAGCAGCACACTCACACCCATACACACCCATACACACCCATGCACACTCGCACATTGGGACTGAGGCACGCTGTGCCTTGACACTTGAATGGGGGCTCATACTTACTTGTACGCTGACCGGTGGCCGCGGTATGGAGCACCATGCTGTGGCGCTATGCAGCGATTACGGGAATGGATTAACTTCCTCTTTGGCCCTGTGGTGCAATCAATGTGGTTGCGGTTGTGGTTTGTGTTATTATTATTATTGTTGTTGTTTTTGTCGCGGCTGCTGCTGCTTCTGCTGCTTACAATGGTGTCGCTGATATTGTAGCGACTGCTGCTGCCACTGCTGCAACCCGCTGAGACAGTGTTTTGTCTTTTGTTGCACTTACTGCCGATTCCGTCCTAAGCAGCCGCCGCATTAGGGGCAACAGAACACCAGAACACATATAAATGTAAATAGTTAATTATGAGTCTGAAAGGGTTGCATTCAGATTTGCCGCCTATTAGACATGTGGCTGCTACTCACAAGATAAGAAGTCGGCTATCTGAAGAGTGGTGTCAAGGCTAGGCCTAGAATTATGCAGTGAAATAGAAAATAAAGCAAAAAAACCGGATGTACTTTTGCATGCCCTGTTATTTACACGATATAAATCAATGAAATGCATATCTTAATTAGTTTTCCACCCATTTCCTACTTACTTAAGAAACTTAATGAAACTTCAATATTCTGAGACACAATCAGGAGCTCATAAATATCCAATTTCGCTATGATAAATATATAAATAAACAGAAAGATTTTTAGTACCATCAATTAGTAAACATCGATCGATTAGTAATGCACCGATTTACCAAATCTTTATACAAAATTTGTCTATCAAAATTAAAGTTGATATGAGAAAACAAAAGCACCGACCGAATGAAATTATCCCTTTCCCCATATTAATACACTTACGAAGGCTAATCTGATATTTACTTGTATTTTCGAATATACTTGTATTTCCAGCTTAATAGTTTCGTGAACAACTTTTTGGTACAGCGTTATAATACATTATTAAATGCTTTAATGAAAAAAGACACAATAAATAATTTGTATAGCTTGTACACGAAAAACTCTAGGGACACCACTCTTGGTTGCACTTGTATATTTTTTTATACATACAAGTATGTGTAAACTGGCTATGGTATGGAGCAAATAGAATAGAGGCGTAACAAGCCCCATTTCAGTGTGTTCGTCTGTCTGTATGAACGCCGAGGTTTCGGAAATAATAAGAGCTAGAATATCCAAACTTCCTACTCCTATTCCCATTCATCCGGTTAGTGCTTAAGTATCTTCATGTCAAGTCTCCCCATAAGTAGGTCAATCGAAAACGAAGTTATGCCATTGCTCTGGCAACTGCTGTTGTTGTTGTTGTTGTTGCTGGTGCTTTGTTTAAGCTACATACAAGTAGGTATAACTTATGCAATAACTGGCCCATTAATGATCCCAACTCTGTTCGTTTTACTCAAAAGAAATAATCAGTACAAATAATAATAAAGTACAATTTTCTCGCCTTCGTTCCAGTTTCTGCGTACATATGTATTGTTTACCTAATAATGCTGATCAATTATACGAATATATGCCCTTCTACGTACCACTTTGGTACAGAGTGTAACAGGAAACAAATCGAATACGGGAAGCATTTCTTCTTAGCAGAATACAAGTATTCGTACAAGATGCCTCGCCTCCTTCGGTCTTTCCCAAACAAGAGCAGTTTGTTTAATAAAAAGCCGCTTCTTGGCCACTATTTATCACACGCCACTTATAGTCGTTGATCTAATAAAAACTGTCAAAACGTTTGCAACACGCTGGGAAAATATTTACACGCACATAAAGGCAAACACACTCTCACTCTCACTCACACACACAACACACTGACACATGTACATACATATATGGGTTTTCTAAGGACACAGGTGAGCCGTGTAAATGGCATGTAAGAACAGTTAGAGGCAAATATAAAAGGCAAGTAAGGATCAAGCAGCGCAAGAGCCCTACCTGAACTTAGAGCGACGGTGGCTCTGTGGGTCGTCCTAGTCGTCCTCAGACTCAGACTCAGACTTATCCTCAGCCTCAGCCTCATCCTCATCCTGGCCTCACCTTACCTTGCTCACATTTTTTGGTGCGTTGATCTTCATCGTCGGCATTGTCATTGCCGATGTCGGCGGTATGACATGGCAAAAGAGGAGTGCACACGTTCAGGAATTTCGAATTTAGACATTAACTGGTTAATGTGTGTGTGTGTGTGTGTGTGTGTGTGTGTACATGTGTACGTGTACGTGTACGTGTATGCGAGACAGTTCTGGGTGTTCGCCACCAGCAACAAGCCAACAAGAAGCGATCGGTGGCCTATTCAAAAAGATGAAAGTAAATTTCTCTTCACCTTTATTTAATTTTTTATTTCTTTTACTACAAGACAAGGCAAGACAAGAATGCAATGCGATCCAAGAGCTGGGAAAAGAGCACTCAGAGCAGCAGCCTCGGTGGCTGACTCTTGGGCTGATTCCGATTCTGAGGCTGATTCGGATTCGGACTCTAATGCCTCCGAGTGCTGTGCACGTTCACTCGTTTACTCGTACACTCGTATTTTATTGGAGTTCCGTGAAATGATGGCTTGGCTTGCTGCGGCCTCAGCGTTTCTATTGAGAGGACATTACTGACGACCACGGTGACGGTGGGGGGGAGGGGAATATCGGCACACACGTTGCCATTGTTAGCTGGACGGTATTTTCACTTTGGCGTCGCCGCTGGGAAAATCGGCGCGCTGTCAACGACTCTGGCACCCAACGAAATGAAATTGTCGCACAGTTTTTCAGTGTGTGTGTGTGTGTGTGTGTGTGTGTGTTCATTTACAGTTGGTTATTGATTAAAGGATGTGCACTTCAATGCCAGCAAATTGTTTGCATTGTTGTAGTAGTTGTCGTTGATGTTGTTGTTGTTGTTGTTGTTGCTGCCACGTTTCCTGTCGACCGCTGTGCCCCTTGGTCTTCGCACATTTTTCAATGTCACTGACTCAAGCGCTCTTTTATTTTTTAAATATTTGTTGGACATTGCATAAGCGCCGATATTGCGGATCTGCCTAATATGTCTTTGACTTGACCTTGTCCCGTCAGCTTCTTACTGCCAATATTTATAAAAGATTAGCAAACTTTATTTCGCTTTGTTTCTTTTCAATGGCAAAAGGTTCGCAAATTCGCAAAGTCCGCTGCAGCTGAGTCCCATAAAGTTTATTGGACTTTGGTGATTTATGAGAGCGAAAAGATGCGATTTTGCTTGGGTAAGCAGCCATAAGCCAGAAAGCATAGTAGCCCATTTATAGTTTAATAACATTTGTTACCGCACCCAGCATACTCGAACGAAGGAGAGATCAGGACGAGCCATCTGCAGAAAAATCACATTTCTCTTTCAGCGCAATCTGGCGGTCGCCATATACTATAGACAACGGCTTCTGCTACAGATCAATTAATTTGTATTACTGCCGGCTTGATCGTTCGATGTTGGTATTGTTGTTGGTGTTGGTGGTGGTGCTGGGGCTGGGGCTGGGGCTTTGATTGATGAAGCCGCTATAAAATATAGCGATCGACAAGCCATACTGGCGTTAAATTGCTTCCCCAACACTCTTCCATTGGATTAGCCAATGAACGCAGTTTAGAGGCAGAGAATTGCGTATAAAGTACGTGTGCATAATTCAGTAGCTTCGTAATCGGGAAAGGTATTCAAACTCGTGTTGCCTAGAAGAGTTTGCATGGCAAGTTTAATTAATTAATTAATCAGCTGTTTCCGAAATCCAGGCGTACTGATCAATTTGTCTCGTCATGCTGATTAAGAATATATACATAAGTACAAATCTGTTTTATGGTTCCCAGATAGGTTTTTAACTACTTTGCCGGAACCTAATAAATGTGTAATTTACAATTCGAGTACGGGATATAGAAATTATTATTATTTTAATTTGATTATGAAGACTATTGCCATACGATTATCTCAACCGAAAAAAGTGGTTTCAACTTTCTTTAGAGTTCATTTATCATAATGAAATGTGAAATGAGGCTTTTTAGGTGGGTAGATCCAGTTATGATATATTCTCCCTTTTTGGCAATTGTCAAATCAACAGTTAGAAAATTTAGCCAAATTCGAGTTATGGAAAAATTAATTGCCGGTGTCAACCGCTGTTTGATCTATCAGCGCCAATTGTCACAACATCTAGCCGAGCTGGATCGCATCATGGAGGACAGTTTCTTTGAGAACCCCCAGAAGAGTTTTGTGAAGCATAGGCAGTGGTTACGTATGCAGCCTCCTCCTTCAGGAATGATCTCGTCGCGGACCGCACCAGCTGCGCCAAACCCGAAGAAGCGTGCAGCCTCGCCAATGACGGCATCTGTGCGTTCCGGGAATGCCAGCTTACGTGAGATCTCCAGTGCAAAAATTGCAGCCAATCGCCTGCTGGGGAAGCTCTCCAGCTGCCAAATGCGATTCCGTCAGGCCTATGGCCTCGGAATGCGCTGTTGCGCCTCACAGGCGTCGGCCGCTTTCAATGCGAATAAGGAACAAAATTTATTGGGGGAGCTTGAAATGGACGAGGACGAGCAGAGCTTGGAGGATGCGGTTGAGGTAAGTCCGCATCTGGTCTTTACTTTCCACTTGCTACTGCATTTAAAGAAGCGAACTAAACATCAATCAATTGGTTTGTTCGATTGGCATGTCTGCCCCTAACAATGTTCAAATTCTGCTTTCAGAAAAACCTCAAGATGACTCGCGCCATTTGGGAACTTCTACAATCAGATAAGCCCCGCAAGCATAATAAGGTACGTGAAAAGCATGCGCTCATACTTGTATGTCGCAGGAATTGTGGGTAGATCTTTCGAGCTTTCAAGGAAACGGTTTTTGAGAATAGGCTCTGTCGTTTAAGGACTCGATTCCGTCTCTCACTTTCTCAATATAGCAGTACGTGTTAAGCCCAGTCCAATATCCTGGCTTTGACAGAGTTTGGCTTGGTCAATATTTGAGGCAAACAGCTAACACCTAAGACACAGACTCTTAACTAACTAATCTAGTCCAAGCTCAGTCTCATGCATCATCGTCTGCCGATTTGCTTTCTAATTTCCGTAGAGAGGAAAAGGAAATAGTAGATGGTATATAGTATAAATAAATTGATGATTAACCATTGCATTTTTGAAGAGTGGGGTACATTTTTAATTTGTTCTCACGACTGTTGCAAACAAACACCATCCATCATTTCACTGCAATTTGTAATTTTTCAATTCTCTGCCTTTTTTGTAGTGTGTTGCCAACTCGGGAGTGCACTTGGATCTGCTCAAGAAACATCACCATCTGTTGCCGCAAAAGAATCCAACAACAACTGCTGTGCGGGTGCCTCCATCGCCATACCTGCCAGCTGCCCCTCCGCCCCCAGCCCCCACTCCTGCCTCCACTCCCAATCAGACGCGCAAAATTCGCAGCTTTGTGGCAACAAATGCGCGTCTGGCGCTTCCGAAGTCCACGGAGCTGCTGCGCCCAACAAAAACAGCTGTGCAGGGACATGGACTGTCAACGATGTCGAGGCTGTCCGCGAGCTGTCGGAGCTGCAATTTTTGGCGGGTCTAAGGCGCTTCCACATGGAGCAAACACATAAGCAAACAATTGTCGACAATTACTTTTTAGATATTGCAATATGCACAACATTTTGTCAGCGCTCGTGGGCGTGGCCACGGAGGCAACGGTTGCTTCAATGTGGTCGACTCGTGGTCGCGCCGCGGACGCTGCAAGTCTTTTCGGCCATTAAAGATCAGAACAGAACCTGGGACTCCTTTGCACAGTGCTGGAGCTCGAGCTCGAGCTCGAGCTTGAGCGTGTCTTGTTATTGTTATAAATAAGTTAATAATATGGCGGAAGGCGGCCTTTTGTGTTGCTGCCCCTGGTCGCTGTTGTTGTTTTTGCCGCTTTTTTGGCACGGCTACGCTTATTAAATGATTGCGGCCTTTTGTGTTGCCACAGCTTTTTTGGCCACGCAAAACGATGGGAAGAGATACGAGAGGTGAACACCTTTGGAAGCGGCGGCAGCGACCACCACCACACCATCAATAACTGGACACAACGAGCCGCGCCAAGCGGCCGGCAGTGCAACAGCAACAACAGCAACAACAGCAACAAACAAAAACAAAAATATTTATGATTTGTTAAGGAAAAACGTGCGAAAGGATAATCACAAGCGCCTCGCCCGCTGTGTGGTTTCTTGGCCAACATCATCATCATCATCAACCGCATCATGATGACCAGCGTCGTCGTCGTCGTCGTCGTCATCGTCGTCATCGTCATCGTCATCTCGTCGTGTGTGAGACATTTCCAAATTGAGTCAATGACTTTTATTTTTATGGCCTTTTGCATGTCTTTATGCATACGAGACTTGGCGAAGACGAGTATACTACTCGTGTAGCATACAGAGTCGGCACTAAGCCACGTTTAATAGCCTGATGGTGATGGCTTGCAAGTTGGAAAGGATTGAGCTATTAGCTGCCTTAATAGCTGCAACAGGGGTTTCATTGAGCGCATGCGTGCGACGATACACGTTACAAATAGAGTTGAATCGAGTCGGGGCGAGTCGAGGCGAGCCGAGTCGTTTCCTTTCGAATAGCTTCAATTAAAGGGGTCATTAAAATGAACTACTGATTTCATTCGGCGATCCTTGAGATTTCTGCAAGCTTGGTCCACACACCTCTTGAAGTTTCGGAATTATCGGAATAATAACTATTTAGCGCCTTCTGGAAGAAACCTGCTAAAAATTGTAACCATACAAGTACTATATATAGGCTGCATAGCACATCGAAACTCCATCCAATCCTCAATTATTCAGCAAACAAATTGTAGAAATCATTTGCGTTGACTGAGCAGCTGGCAATCAACAGCTGCGCTGCGGCTTGAGTGGCGAACAATGCGCATCTGACAGGGGCAAGAGGGCATCTGAAAAGGCGACACACTCTATCTTGAATCCAGCATGGCAGATTAAGGATACTGATGAGAGAGTGCATTTGATGAGATTATGGTGATGGCTATCAGACTAGAAAGGGGCTTTGAGTGCCCCGAATCTCTCCATATCTCCCCTGCATTTCCCTTCACTGTGATTTCCGCTATCAATGGAAGGCAGGACGCTTAACTTTTGACACTTTGAAATGCTCCTGCCTTGTACGACATACGTACAAGTATGCGAGTATGCGAGTTTGTGCGTGTTTGTGGTAACTTAACAAGCTGCTTAGCGCCGCAAATACGATGGCGATTATGACGATGATTATGACGATGATAATGATGATGGTGATAATGATGCGTTTATGACGAAGAAGACGAGCAAGACATCGATGCGGATGGCTCTTTGTATAATTGTTGCTGTTGCTGTTGCTGCCCGCGACGCGTTAATGTCGGAATTGGCGCTGGTGAACGTGTTTCTTAATGAAACAAAGCTTGAATTTTAAATGAGCATCATAAAGAACAATGAAAATGTGAGAAGCAACAACAAAAAGAACAATCAAAATAAACGCGCGGGTCGAGCAAAAGAAACGCATGCGAAATAAAAGCGCAGAAATGTTAAATAAACAATAAAATGCCGCCCAAAACCGTCGCTGGAGTCTTGGTCGAAGTAGTCGGATGAGCTGCGGAGGCGACTGCGACTCTGACTGCGGCTGACGCTGTCAAATGGGCTCGAAACATGGCGCGGATTAAGCGCAGATGCGGAGCCAAGAGTGGGGGGGGGGGGGGGGGGAGGGGGCACAACAGAGATATGAAGGGGTATCAAAAACCGCAACAATGCGGACAACATGATGCCTGATAATCATATGGATGGTATGGTATGGTATGGTATGGTATGTAAGTTGTGGTCGAGGCTGTGATCGCGACAACGACGCGACGACGCGGACGACCATTGGGCGTAAGGATCACAAATGATTTTGCGGTCGAAGATGAAATGAAATGCGGCAACGACAAACGTGCAGCAACGGGGAGGGGGGATGGGAGGGGGGCTGAACAGGGGAGGGTATCGGACGGCTCGGTAGGGCCGTCCAATCTGTGCTGGCCATAATTGGTGCTCATCTTAATAGCATTAAAATTGCATTATCGCTGTATTTATTGAAACGGTTTGTTTTAACAAGATTAACTCGATGATACAGCAACACCGTCAAAGGCAACAGCAACAACAACAACAACATTAACAAAAATAATAAAAACAATCCCAAAATGATTAACAACAATGCCGCAAAAGCAGTCGATGCTGCGTTAAATGTGCTGCGAATGGTGGCGTTGATGTTGCTGTTGCTGTTTCTCTTGTTGTTGTTGTTGTTGCTGTTGTTGCCGGCCCCTGTCAAGCGCGCTTGATTGGGTCGCCATCATCATCACCATCATCATCATCAGCGTTATAATTATCATGATCATTAACACGGCCTGCTGGCCTTTGTTGCCATTATTATTTGTTATTGTTGTTATTCTTTTTTTCTGCTGTTTTTTTTTTTTTTTTTGTTGCCAAGCGCCATAAAATGTTTATAACATAATTTAATATCATTTAATTAAGATGATTAGATTCAATATCCGCGCACCTTTAAATGCCATCTGAGACACATTCATTCATTTATTCATTCATTCCTATGTTCGTTTGATTGATTTCTCTTCGGCTGCCGATATGATTATTTGTGCCTATATAGAGTATAGTATTTATCTAAAGGCATGTGTTGGCATATTAATCAAATCTATACGAGTATAGATATAGATCAAAGTTCTCAGACTTATTAGCAAAGCCTTCATGTCTGTATTGCCTGGCTCTTCCAATAAAACAAAACTTCTCTCCAATGTGTATTCTATATAATTGCGTTCGTTCGAGTTTTTCATTTGTATTTTTTGGTATGAGGTTAAAAGGTTATGCATACGATTTAAAATGCCGTTTGTAATAAATTTCGAATTATTCTCGCTCCGACTGGACCCTTTCTTGTTGAAAAGCCTAGGAAAAAACCTTGCAAAACCTGTGCAAATAATATAAAAAATATACATATATGCACGAGTATATATGTAGCATGCATGTACATCAATTTTTTATTCTTTTAAAATGGCATCTTCAATTGCATTCAGAGCTCAATCCAGGCAGGTTGGCCTTAACATCTACAGAACTTGCACTAAGCTAGTATTACCTTTACCCTTCGAATACAGCATCAGCAGAATCTAAGCCAAAACAAAAAACATAAATTAAGAAAGCAAAGACGAAAATCCGGGCCTGAGCTTAAAAGAAAATGATGGACAGTCCTATGGGAATCGAATTAAAAGTAATTATTCAAAGTAGCATTGTAAATGGATAAGCTTAAATATTGTTCTTAACATCTTTGTTTAATACAAGTATTTGGTAAGTTCGAAAGGCCCGGTGAAAACTATGGACGCAAGCGAAACAATACTATTTGGAAAACAGACAGATATAATAAAGACACTATGTATCCACAAAAATAGAATCAATCCCTTGCACAAATAGTTTCATTCCGCAAAATAAAACTCTTTGAATTGAAAAGAAATTGGAGGAGCTGTGCAGGTAGCTCTAGAAAGAGAAAGAGAGATTTGTAGGGTGGGGTAGAATGAAATAACAAACAATAAGATTAAATATACAATTTTTTAATGATTTCTTTTTATATTTTTTTTCACCAACACACGCATACTAAATCATATTTATTGAATATGTTTTCAAGGAGTAATTAATTTCGTGAATTGTGGCAGGAACTGTTTCCTCTTCAGTTTCTCATTTGCATTCTGGAACAATCCTTTTTAAGTTCGTCGTTGTTTACACCTCGGCTGATACAAGTATATTGTAGTCCCCATTACTAGCAATAGTAGCAGTACACCGTAGACTTTTATTTACAATTATTTGTAAAATGTGAAACATACGTATAGTGTATCCATTCAAGTCCTGTAGACTTAATCGGGTGTTGGGAGATGCGAACAGAACTTTTCGCTTAAAGCATTATCTTCTGTCCGAGATTGTTTAACATTGGCGCAGCTACCGTTTTGTTGGCACCATCGATATCGATGATGCGTCGCCGCATTCCCAGAATTTGGAGCAGTGCTGAAAAGCAAGCAGAAAAAATAAAAGGCTCAGCCATTTCCTTCTAGGCAATCCGATCGATCCAATCCAATCCTTGTGGCTTGTGAAGCAGACCCTTAGACAAAAGTGCCGCCGACTGTTTCCCAGAAGCTGTGCAAATGATTGTTATTTATGCATAAATTAAAACAACAACAAACTACATTTTTGGCAAATGCGAAAATCCGCTCAAAGCCATATTTATGGCGTTTCGATCGTTTGCAATTCTCGCTGTTGAGGCTGTTACAGTATCTGTTGCATTAACGCTTTGATACTTTGATATTTCATCACGGCATGAAACCGAACAGGCAAAAGCAAACTTTGTGTGTGTCACTACGTATTCCCTTCCCTTCCCTTCCCTTTCCTGCTCTTCTCTTCCCTCCTCTTATGTGCTCTGCACTTCCCACACAAGCACCCGTGGCTGCCTTGTGCATTTAATCAACACCTGCCCGCGACATTTGGCAAATACGGGTAAGTAGTAGAGCAACAGCATTTAATAACGCACAAACAACAATTAGTTGGCAAATAAATTGCATTTTGATATGCTTTGGCAAATTGAATGAAGCCCCCTCCCGCTGCTGGCTGCTAAACTGGCGCTGATTGCTCAATTACTGACAAATAGTGCGAGTGCGCACATTAAACCATAATACACGCTCATAAAATAAATGTCAAATCGCTTAATTAACTAACTGGTGTCGCACTGCGACAGCGGAGGGTGGCGGTGCGGGGCTGGTGATTTTTTTTTTTTTTTTTTTTTTTTTCTTTTTGATAAGAGACGAGCCCTCTAGTTTTTATTTACGCGCATAATCGTAGGTGAGCGTGCTTTATTAGTGGCTCAATAAACGGCTTGATAAGGTAATGTTTAAGGTCAGAGGTGACGACCTTCATTTGGCGACTGGGCCCAACTTGGCAACAACGTGGCTAATTTAGATGAGTCAGCCCCCATGAGGGCCCCCACCACCAACCGTTTGATTACAAATGCGAGTATCATTTGATTTCGTTTTTTTTTTTTTTGTGTTTCTCTTTTCGTTTTTACTTGTCTCGGAAATCGCTTGGCTGGCACTGACACCGCCACTGCCACTGTCGTCTCGCATTTACAAAACGAGTCGCGTGCCTTGACGTCATCCACATGCCGTTAATCAAAGGTCGAAATTCCGTTGAAATTTCATAGGGCAGGGGGAGGGGGCAGGGGCCAGAGGCCAGGGGGCGGGCAGTCGCAGACAAAGTCAACTCCGCGAGCTTGCCACGTAATTGCATATTTTGGAATTTAATTTATGTTCCCCAGCTACTCAGTAGTGCGAGTATTTTCTCATCGCCTTTGTGTTCTTTTCCGATATCGTATGGCATGACTTATCTTTATATTCAAGGAATTTCACTGTTAGATACATATGTATGTATTTACATACACACTCGTAAGCTTCGGATTTCTCCCCGTAAATCCACAACTAACCAGTCACACGCCAAACTTGATTTTATGTTTTTTGCGGCAAATGGTGAAATTGCGAGCTGATAAGCGTGCCGTGTGTTGCGATCGAAGATAGAGACGAGTTGGGGACAGCTTTTGGTAACATACTTGTAGTAGTAGTACCTAAAATGGGTAAATTCCACTATACAAACAATTCAATTCCAGTTCTATGGCGCCAAATTGGAAATTTTAATCCGTCATATTTTTATAACGATTTGTCAGTATTTTACGGCACTATGAATAGGCGCTCACGAAATAGCAGTGCGCCGAACCTTTCATACCCCTTTGCAAATGTACTAATCCTATAAGTGGGGATAAGAATACATTTATAACATTTTCACATTTGTTTATTTTCTATCCATACAGTAGTCCAATTTGGCATAAACAAGACTAGAGAAAATGTTGTAATAAACAAACAAATTAGGTCGTTGTATCTCTCAAAAAACAAAAATAGTCTCGTCATTCTGATCCTTTATTCACATATACTTGTAGTATGTAATTACATACATATTTCCAAACACGGTGCATAACACCTTCTTCTGGACATTACAAATGTCAGACCAAACGCAATGGGCCGTTTGCAGTTGTGTGGAAGCACAAACAGTTTCAAAAATAATATATTTTCGTAACTCAACATAAAAGCGAGCATTGGCATTTTTAATTACAACAAAAGTAAATTCCAAGAATAAGAAGTCATGGACATCCACTTAAAGCGAGGGAACGGGGATTGGGTTAGATTCTGGCAGGGCTGGCGAAAGGACAGACGGAAAGACGAAAGGGTTTGCAATGCCGCCGTCTATGCAATTGAATTGGATAATTTAGGAACGATTATCGAGAGACGTTCCTTTGACATCAGCTCTAAAGCCACTGTCAAGATTTCAGTAAAGTGAATACCCATTTACAACCGGCGGTGTTACATTATTGAAATCTTTTGGGAATTGCTTGTTGCATTTGCCATTTCTTAGGCCAACAGAGTTCGGATTCAATGACCCATGTGGGTCGAGTAATATGTGATCCAAATTGGGGATATTTTTTATAATATGGTGATTTTTTATAATATGCTCCCCTTTTTGAAACTGGATTGTGTAACTAATTGCTTCAACCCGTCCGAAAATACAATTTTAAAATAACTATTCCAATTAATATTTGAAAAACCGTCTTGTCTAAGGTTCGGTCATTAATGTAATCCAATATTGTGTACTATTTCTGGCCATGCGTTTCAGTGGACATAGTCTCCAATTAAATTTTGTACATAATTGAAGGCAAATTTTTGAAAAGCTCAGTTTTAAAAATATTCGGATTATGTCAAATAAAATGTAGACACATCCACGGAAATTTGTAAGCACAACTTTTGTAAATTATGCAAAACACTGAAGCGTGGATTTTTTGACTTTGAAGGCCACGCTGAATCACCATTCAGAAATAATAATGGATTTGAGGACGAATCTAATACAAAAACTGGTTGAGCTGCACCATTTATTTTGAAAATGAAATCGTTATCAATGTCATATTATTGATAAAAAGATGGATTGGCTTTACTATTTGATTCAGTCGATTCAAAAATTATGATAGCTTACTGCACTTGTTCTCCAGTCAATATCCTCACTCGTGGCTTGGAAATCACTTTTACGGAAACATTTGAAATGTTCCTTTAAATGCTTAAGAAAATAATTGTAACTCACAAAATCATCCAACTCCTATTTAATAAATTAAAACTAAATGTCAATATGATGTTGTAAACGTTAACAAATAAAATACAAATGAAGTGAAACAGCGAAGAAACGGAAGAAGATTAGTAAGAGGGAGGCTAAAGAGGTCACATCCCGCTGATGTTGCCAATAGATTTATATAAAGTATAAATAATAAAATTAGACTAAACTCCTAGTTTAAGCTGTATTTGTATTTTTCTATAAGTTTAATTTAAGGTGTTGTAAATAATAGCAATATTATACAAATTTCTCATACATGCCCGAATTGAAATACAATAACAATCTGCGTACTACAAGTATGTTTTCCAGTAGTATTAATTTGTTTTTGAGAGCTCAGCAGGCTTTTAAAACTCACTCGTTCTGGCTTTTGACTTCGAGCAGCATTCCTAAAATATTTTTCAGTTTACTTCCAGCCTTGTGCTGGAGCAGACATATTGGAATAAAATTTAAATAAAATTTTTGTAACATTTTTGAGAAAATACAAATTTGGATCTAATAATGATTTTAGTAAGTGGCAGCTAAATTTCCATAAGCATGTCAATTAGTATTCATCCTTGTAGGTTTTCGTACTAAAGTAGCTGTTTGGATCAAACATGGATCACAGGATCAAATATCTCGTCAAGTCAAAATTAACTGTTCGCTGTAATACTTAAACGCACAGGTAAGAAGCTCATGTAATGAGCGCTCCATTGACTATGGATTGCAACGGTTTCAAGTATGGATAGAAAACCGCGCTATATGTCCCAACAGAGTCCCGAACTACGAAATATGCAGATACGGCCGAGGTAAGTAACAACACAGTTTCTTGGCAGAAGATACGAAATAATAATAATCCGCAGCTAAATTAGGACTTGGCCGTACATGCGTGTTTCCGTCCACCTTCATATGATAAGCTGTGATCATAATGAAGGCATCTAGCAGACGGTACCGGCCCTCCAATTTGATTCAAGGTCAATGTGGTGGGGATGCGTGGATCGCGTTTCGCTCTAAGCTGCTTTTTTAATAATATTCGCCCAAGCAAGTTACTTGAGACTTGCCAACTTCAAATAGTTCCACCAGTCTCAACAAACAAATATATGCCGCTGTTACGCTTTAACGACTCTTGAGTATTCGGCTCTATTTATGGGTTGGGCTTGTCTGCCTGCCTAATTAGTAGACTAGGGCTTCACTAGGAGTCCAATACCCACAAACACTTGGAACCAGAACGATGGAGAATAATTAGAAGTATGCAGTTCAAAGCTCAGGTATTCCAACTATACTTGTAAAATGAAGCAATGCCAATGCCATGGCATGGTTTTTTCTTCTTTTTTTTTGGCAACGTCGAGGTGCCAAACCGTTTCACTTTTTAATTGGCCGCTTTGGAATTATCTCGGGTCTTCGCTTGCGCCCTTTCCGTTAATTTGCCTTCAGACATTTTTTTATGATGAGTCGCAGCGATCAACGCCCAAGCCCGAGTGGTCGTCGATCGAAAAAAAAAAAAAACGAAGCCGACTTAAGCGGCAGCTTATCAACTATTTTATACTCTTTGAGAGAAATTCTGTGACACTAGGCAGAAAGCAAGCAGCCTTGGAAACGATGTGCTTCTAAAAAGTCTTTGTATGTGAAACGTGTCTCTTTATGAAGATATTGAGGAAGTTGTTCTTAGAGACATGATCGTGTTGACCTGCGGCCCGTTGTCATGAAAGAACACATTTGTTCCTAAATATAGAAAAGCTCTAGCTGTGATAGCTACTAAGTATATAATCAGATATGATATATCGTTTGCCACAAGCAGATACTTTTATAGAAGCTTTACAACTAGATTAGTCTACAACCGGTAACATGCTTATCTTATCATTGGACACAGATCTGTTCTCGAAATTCAGTTGACTTGAGCTTAAGACATCAATGTTTGCAAGGGTGTATAAAGTTCGGTCGTTTCTCACATTTGTTTCCACGGCTTTTCGATTTCTTGTTATTCTTGAACGCAACTTTGTTGTGAGTAGGAATCAGAGCACGTTTGTGTGGTTATTGTTGTTGCTGCCCTTGTTTTCGTTTCATTCATAAGCACATTTTGCGAAATTTGGGAATTAGCCGGAGCCTCCTCTTTGTAGGTCATAAGCTAATGACGTCATGACACATATGACTGTGTCTCTGCGGTCCTCGCGACGATCCGACGATGACGCAGCACTTCTTAAATCCAATCAAATCTAATTATGTTTTTGGGAAATTGGCTCAACCTGCACGCGCCTCTCGCCGGCAAATGCAAAACTATGTTGGAAGGGGCCTAACTATGGTGATTGGCTGGAGGGAGGTGGAAACGGAGTCTGAAATGGTTATGGTGATGGTGATGGTGATGGCGATGTCGGCGATGGCACCGATGTCGGCGGCAGCTGAGCGTCGGCTGTCGTCATAACATTTAAATTCAATTTATTTATAGTCCGACGGCCTTTTAATTAGACAAGCAGGTAGGTGATTAATGCCACGCTTGTTTTTATCGGTTTACGCATGTAACTGCCACCGCCTACATGGAATTAACTTATAGCCACACACACACACACACACACACACGTGTGTGTGTATCTCGTTGTATATTCCATTGGGCTGATTCATACCCGTTGATAAGGGGCATCGGGTTGAATAATTGATTGATAAGCTGGATGACTGGCTGGCTTCGGCTGCGACACCGGCTTTAGCCCTGGACTGTGGCTGTATTATCATTTTCCAATTTCTTAGCTACATATGTACTTGTATGTATGTATGTATGTATGTATGTATGTATGTATGTATGCCCACGTCACGGCTGCCCGAGTGCGTGTTAATGACGGGCGCGTGGGCGCTGCTTTCGTTAATCATAATTGGCACACTTATCCACATACCCGTGCATGTGTACACACATACACATACATACACATACATACATGCACGTATGTACATGTATGTACATGCAGACATACTCACATAGAAAAGTATGCGAGTAGATTAGTACGTGTGTCATCCGTGCCGCTTTGGTGTCGTCATGTGGGGCCGTCGGCCAGCTTGTTTGTGCTACCGACAATAACAGAAAAAAAGCAAAAAACAACAACAACAACAACAACTGAAACAGAAACCGAAACGGCGCAACAACATCATAGACATCGCGACGTTGCAACTTCGCGAGCGCATTTCAATTATGCGTAGACACAACTTGCAACGTTTTCATGTTGCGCCGTCGCATGCGCGGCCACATGCAAAAATCACGGTTCAAAAACCTCGACCAACACCAAGGCGCGCACTTGCCGCCAATTCCAGCAAGAAAATCAAAATAAATGCAACCTACTACATATGTATGTATGTATATACTGGGGGACCAGACTCCAGTGGGACCTTCGACTCTTCTGCAATGTTTATGCGCACCATGCACGAGTAGCTCATCAAGAGCCAACTGATTTCCACCTTGAATGGCCACTGTTCTTTTATTATTTACATTTATAAGAATTTAATATATAATAATTGAATATTTATTTACTATTATTGATTAAGGTTTTGCACACAATCTTTGGGAGAAGTGGTCGAAAGGCAACTTTAAATTGGTTGGGTCTATGACATAGAGAGTGGTCCATATAGTGGTTTCTGTTTAGGGATTCAAAACAAAGAACAAAATTCAATTGTTTTCAGTATTTCATTTGTTTATTCAGAAGAACAAAATTGTCCATCATTTCTGAAACATGAGCTTATTCGTGTGGCTTCTATGGCTTCTATTGCCCGCATCCTACAAAATAGGCTACTTAACAATCAATTGTAAAGAAAGTTATATCTGCTCTTCCACAAAAACACAAACTGAAATCAGAGGCAAAGGGATATGATTGAAGATATGTGTATTATGACATCCCTTATTACATTTCATTTAAAGATTGAAATGGTTAAGCTAAGAATCTGTGCTGAAGAAATCCTGAAATATTTGAATTTGTGAAACTAGTGTCGCATAAACCGTGGATGTTGATCGCCTGCGGTGAATGAAATGTTTTTAATTGTCTGGCCGACTGTAGACTGGCGATATCGACTGCGACCTCGTCAGGCGTTTGTCAACAGCTTCACAGCATATTCATGTCCATGTCCATGTCCATGTCTATGTGCATGGCTCCTGAAGATTTCTACAATGTAAGCACTTCTGCTGAGCTTGCAGTTTGACTACTAATGGTGGTTCTTATTTCTGCTGTTCTTGGTGTTCTATTTGTATTTGTTGTGCAAGTTGTTTCTGGGCTGTAAATCGATACATTCGTGACGGCTACTTACAAAGCCTCGCCGCACCACGTCCTTCTGATCGCTGCACCTCGTCCAACTCATTCCTGCTATCGATCATAATGCTGTCGGCTCAAGTATTGGCAGTGGGCGCTTAAATGGGGCTTTGACGCGATTTTTCCTACTACTTTGATGGCGCAATGTGGCGGTCGCTTTGCCGTGCTTCATATTCCACGCGTTTCACAAACGATTCCCCAAACGAGGACCGCAACATTTCAAATCACCACAACCTCTTAATTTATAGAAATTGTATTTTGATAATTTTAAACAAAGCTATATATTATATTGACAATTATTAGATTAGCATTATTGCGGACTCGCTTTCCATTTCAGTTAATAATTTAACTTCTGGCCCCTTTGTCAGAAGTAGGGCCTCCAGAACCACCCAATACGAAACACGTAGACGACATACACGGCCTAACAAAACTAGGCACCAGTAGCTCAAAACAAATCTATTAAAGCCTATTTGAAGCCAACCCTTATGATCCATGACCTGTTTCTAAACTATGGCTAATACTACCTTCCAAACAGCCCTGCTTTATTCCTCATGCACGAACTTTAAGTGGAGGAGAAAGCCGACGCCGAGAAGCATTTGGGAATGTTAAAGGAAGGCAGTGAAGTAAGAGTTGCCCAACGAAGACAAAGGCTATTTTCACAAGCAGACAGAGAAATACTCTATTCCCAACCAAACTCTTCAAGTGAAAAGCAGCCAATCCGTTTCTTTAATTTCCGGCGTAGTTCTAGCGAATTACCCGATTTAGGTGAATTGGAAATAGGTCTAAATTGTTTTTATTATTTTTATAATAAAATTATTTCTATTACTTATTGTTATTACAAGTTTTAACGTAAAAGTCAACACTTTATTTAACAAACATTAGCCATTCCTGGACGATCTTTTAAGTAGAATTAATTATTTTTTTATTGATCTTTTTATAGGTCTATAATGTCTCTGACAACATAGTTATTTACATTATAACTGGAATTAATCAACTGTATTGACAGCATTATTTGTTGATATTTAAAATAAATAAATAAAAAAAAGTGATGACACAATTTAATATAGGAATAATATACGTGTATTTATAAACAAAAAGCGTTGGGAAAAGTATGTGTTTAAAAATATATAATATTTAAAGTAAACATGTTTTTTTTCGCTTAATTTTTCACATGAATAATTGATCTGATATTATAAATTTTCTGGAGTTTAAATTAAATCTGGAACCAAATAATTCGTATCTTGTATTAATTTATTTATTTACATTATTGTCAGTGCTATTGACAATATTATTGCAATGCTAGCTTATAGCTAGCTTAAGGCCTTCAGGCAGATTAGTGTTTATTCATGAACTTGTATTTAACTTAGAGATACAAGTACGTTTAACAAATGCTTTTAGTTAGTGGACAATTAAACTGTAAAGGTAGATCTATTGCAGTATGAACAAAACGGCGCCATGGAGTTCGTAAGTTTTCTGTGTCCTAGTCTGAATCTTATGTAGATAATTGTATGTGTTTTGTTTATTGTGATTGGAATATTTCTTTGCCCTCTTGGTGGGCTTATTGTTATGTAGTAGAGGATGTACTGGTCTTAGATGGTTTTTAAAACTGTTTTAATACTTGAGTTGATGAGGTTGTTTCTGTCTTTCTTATTGTTGGTGTTGTGCAAGAATTATTGGACTAGAGTGGCAGCTTTTGCTTATCCGTTTGCGTATCCGCTTGCTCATTTCTTGTTATTCCCTATTTATAGTAAGTACGTGTATGATGTTGCTCAAGGGAGGGGCCAAAAAATTAAAATTTTGATTAAATAATGCACGATGCATTTAAAAAATAACATGCATATTATCAATGAAAAAACTTCAACAAATCCAACTCAGTTCCATTCTAAGGCGAAATAGTGCGTCTTAATGATGAACGTGTGGTCGACTTTGTATGGAAAAATTGTTTGTAATGGGGGGACACGGACCCCCCCCCCCTGGCCCTCCTGTCTACGCCCTTGATGTTGCTATCAGAAAATTAACGGCTTGTGAAAAGTACAGGCTTGCGTGTTTACCAAGACTTAGCTGGAGATCCACTTTCAATCCTTTCATCAGATAATTAATACATACAATACTGAATGATGTAGCTGATTGCATTAAAATTAATAAGCCCGACCCGCCCCAATTTAACGCCAGTTGGGGCACATAGTCGTAATATCAATAAGTATCAACCGAGTCAATGGCAGCAAAAAAAAAAGATGAAAAAACAACAACAAAAACGTGAACCGTCAAGTGCAACTTTCAAGAGCGGCCAACGTGTTTGGCAATCAAACGAAAATTGTTGTAATTACGCAAAGGTTTGTAAACATTTGCAGAAAGCGATCGTTTGCTGCTTCTTTCTCGCGTTGACTTTCGAGGTTCGGCCTCAAGTGCAGAAGGCATCAGCTTGCACACGTGCAGTTCTTGCACAGTGGTACGATTGTCTCGAAACTAGGCCAAAAACGCAATTGGGGTCTGTTAAGCTAGGAATGAGATAAGATAAATGTCTTGGCTAGCTAAAATCTTCATACATGATGGGGGTGTGGAACAAGTAATGTTTTTTAAGATAAGATAAAAAGCGGTTGCGAAATGCTGATGGCCCTGCCCATCGCCAAGCTCGTGCGCACCTGTCTCTATGTACCCTCAACCTCTGATTCAGTAATCTATTAAATGACATGAATATACTATTTATTTCAAAGGATTTAATATTTCACTTACCATACCCTAGGTATAAAGGGTGAAAAGGGTTAAAATATAAAAACAAAGCTGAGAATTTTAGGATTATAGATGTAAAAGTTTGCAATTCAAAAAAAAAAAAAAAACAAATAAATTGGAAATTATTGAAGAGCTTAAAATGCTTTCTAGGTGCAATAAAGAATAAACTAAGAAAATATATATAGTTTTCATTTATTCGTTAGAGTAGAGTATTCAAGAGCCGTTTTTATCAGGGACCGCAAATAATGATTCATTTGTTTTTTTTTTTTTAACGAAAAAATTATTCACCTTTATTAAGTTTGAGAAATTGAAGAATATACCAATATCCTTTTTATATGATTATCTATGCATTCTCACCATGATTTAAACATTTTAATTTGTATTCATTCTGTCAATTTAATGATTAATATTGAGTTTTACTTTACAACTTAACCAATAATCATTGATATTAAGCAAAAAAAATGAACTCTTAAAATAATGCGTATTCTTTGAGTTTTATTTTTTTGGATCAAAAATAAAACTCAATCTGTATTTTTGTATGATAATATTTTTTAAGGACGTTTTCTTAGCCCAAAACGGAACTATAGACGTTCGTATTGGCTTATTCCCAATGAAAAAGGCAAGAACAATTACAACTTGAGGTTTTTTTTATAACAAAATAATAAAACTTAAAAAAAAAACATTATTTAATGAGTTTAATATTTTTGCTCAAAAAACAATGATTATTAGTTAAGTTGAAAAGTAAAACTCAAAATTAATCATTATATTGTGAGCGAATGAATAAAATAAAACAATAAACAATATTTTGTAATTTTTTATAATAAAACTTATAATTATTACAGTCCCTGGTTTTTATACGAATAAATATCGTAGATTTTGGCCCAACTCTAGACCTTACCAGCCACTGTGCGCGCATCAACTTTGAAAATGTTTTAGTTTCATGTCTGGCGTATGGTTTTGAAATTGCAATTTAAGATTCTTCACGTGCACGTACGCGTACGTCACACTACATATGCGAATATACATACTTAGATACAAACATGTAGTGTGTACTATATAGCCAGCGAGCATTTGGAAGTGGAATTGCTCGTCTATCGCTTTATCGCTTTGGGAAAGCTAGATGGAGAAATGAAAAAACAACACAAACGATTGGTTATCTAGCCAGACATCACATTAATGCCGGCGACAACTGTATCTTTCAGATGGCGACAAAAATGTTTACCGGGTATGTGATATGAACTGTGATGAATAAGGAGAGCAATTCTTGAGCCCAGGACACTGGTGCTTAGAAGCAGGCTGACCATTTTACGCCTGTCTTGTTGTTGTCGTCTTTGTTGTTGGACAAACTATGGCCCAGAAAATAAAGCGCGGGTGAGACTGCTGGGCGGCAACTATTACTCACAAATAAATATACAAGCATAGAAGTACATACACGTACTCGTTCAGGTAGACAAATATTCTATTCCATTTTCTCTAGGGAAACTGTTTGGCTCAGCATTTTGTCTTGGAGGTAGTATTCTAAGTAGAACATGTCGTCTGCAGTGGTCGTCGACGCCGTTCATCACTCCGCACCACTCCCTGCAGGCATCACTGTCCACCACCAGCAGCACCATCTCGATCACCATATCCATTTGAGCCTCGGTTCTCAGCTCTCCATATCTTTGGGTCCCACAGTTTTTGTCGTTGTAATCACCGGTGCCGTTGCAATTGCAATTGCTGGTGTCCAGGGCCGTTCCGACCATATGTGAGTGCTCGTACGAGTATGTACACACCATATACATATATACTATAGTATGTACATATGTACGTGTGTAGTAAGTATGTGGGCGTGTGTTTGTGTGCTTTTTATGAGCCGCAGCCAAAGTTGTTGGCAGTTAGCAGCTGCAGTTTTTCGTCCGTGCGCTCACTGTCGTGTAATTTGATGTGCTGGCGGCATCAGCATCAGCATCGGCATCGGCATCGGTAATGGGCAACGGGAACGGCCTCAGCTAGTCTTCCAGCCAAGTGAAGTGTAATAAGGCTAATGAGTAAAGCAGACCGCGGCCGATATTTGTGCTGTGGAGTTCACTGTTCACTGGATGCCTACCATTTTGTGTGGGTACTTTTACTTTTAGTATTTCCTTGAAGTACCTCATACTTGTAGCTCTCGAAAATCGAATAAACTTCATCTAATTTTGGAGTATAACTTTCATTTCAACTATTTCAGCGAAAAATTCCATTCATTCTCAGAGAGTTTTTTTTTTTTTTTTGTTTTCCAAGATGCTGACTGGAGATGGCAGAATAATTTGCCTGCGAGCCTCCTAATATGCAGAGCCGGTAAGTTATCCAATTATTGCTTTCTGAAGCAAAAGCCAGTCGTTTGTGCCAAATCATCTTATTGTCTATGACATTTCTCTAACATACATACATATGTCATTCATTATTCCGGATGGCGCCTTCTCTCCAAATTTGTTTCAATTTCTTCACTTAAGCAGACAAAACTCTTAGTTTTTCTTGTGCGCTGGCTGTCTATTTTTAAAACTGATGATCGAGGCCGCTACCGCTCGGACCAGAGGCATTATTAACGATGACGTCTTCGATGCCCGTGCCCGACTTCGACTCCACCTCCGCCTCGGTCGCATGTTTGCACAGCTTTTGTTTGTTTCACACGCGCAATCGGAATTGGCAATGCAAAACGGAAGTGTTTGTGTGGTGTGTAAGGCTCTTGAGACATGCACATGAATGTGCCAATATGTAGTAGCATAGTATGTCGTCGATATGATTTGGGCGAACTTTGGGCCACAAAGTCCGACAATGGCTAAGTGATGGCTAAGCTTGGCT